AGTCGGTGGCGACTCTTGTTAAACCGCACAAGTGCGAACACAAACGCAAAACCCCAAGTCAGTTCTCCCACCGTATCACAGATACATTTGAAAGTTACTTATAAGCAATATCATAGCGGTTATTGCTCTTAATCGTTGTTATAGGGCGTATGCTATTCAGTTTACTACAACAGTCATTGGACAATGATTGAAAGTAACGCATACACAACAACACGCTATATATAACACTTGGACCTACGCAATTATATACCTAATCCAACTGTTGTTGAAAACCTTTTTCATAGTATTGAGCTCACCAGGAACTCCAGGCGAGACAAGTCAGTAGCCAAAATCCTTGATGCTCGCCTGGAGAAGACCCCAGTGAGGCCAGCTTGGCTTGGGCTTATCCGGCGAGGTTGACGCGACCATAATAGTGCATAAATCTAATAGGAAGTTAAAATGGAGACACACATCAACACATATCATCATATTGAACTCAAAAACTGCAATTATCATGATTTAACACAAATAGGCATGCAAAAAATAAGATGATCATGTATAAGCATAAATTTCACACATATAACATTTTTTCACAAAAATCCAATTTCCTTTTTCATGTATTTTCCCCACCAAAGCTATGTCTACCTAGGAACCCACCTCTAGGAAGAAGATGATAATGAAATATTGGAAATGATTTAAAGAAGCGAGCTCTTGATCCTTGAATATTCCAAGATTTTCCTCTTCTTTTCCCTTCTCTTCTCTTCTTTCTCTCTTTCTCAATTTTCTCTCATTCTCTTCTTCTTATCCTTTTCTTCCTCTTATCTTACTAACTTTCTTTCTCTTTTCTTCCTTTTATGTCACTACGAATAAGGCAAATGGTTAGTAAGAGGAAGCTTGACAAAATATCTAAAGGAGATATTTCTTCTAGGGAATAATTGATCATTCCATACTGTTACTAAATGTCCTTTCTAATACCAAATATTAATTATCAAGTCAATTGAGTAAGTATTGATATCTTATGAGTCTACTAATTACTCTATTTGACCCAACTAACAACAACTATTAACTAATAGAGCATTCATGAACTCAATATGTCTCAATTGACAACAATTAAAACATTTAAGAGGATTTGGGATATTACATCTAATTTAGCACATTTAGGGTTAAAATTAAAATCAGGATGCTTGTGAAGGTTCCTTAATATTCTATGAAAGGACTCCATAACTAAGACAAAAAGCAAAGGTGAAATTGGATCCCCTTGTCTGATCCTCGTCTTAGCTTGCAACACTTCACTAATCTAACATTTAATTAATAACATACTTATAGGATATTGTTGTGACACATCCCAGGATCCACTCAATGTATGTTGGAGTAAATCTCATTTCTCTCAAAATTATTTTTGAAGCTTGTCATTCTATTGTACCATATGTCTTATGTAAATCCAATTGAACTGCACACCATTGAGACACATGTTTGCAATTGTATCTTCTCAATGCGTCTTACACAGTTGTTGTATCATAACAATGGTTAATAATATTCATTATTCTTTCATATTCTAACTATTTAACAAAATTACTCAATAATGTTGCTACAGTCTTATTTGTGCAATGATCCTCTTGAAAGAGTTATCTGTTGGGACAAAATTCATAATAGTTGTAATTCAAGTACCATTTTAATTTTGATTAACAAATAACTACACGAAAATTCAATATAAAAATTTTTCTAGCTATTTTCTCATCTACTCAATGTTCAACAGGGGTTGTAAGGCGTTGACACTATAAAAAAAGATGTTTTGCAACACATAAGTTGTGATAGTTCTATTAATATTGTCCTCCCTTATGTATTGCTACAGTTTTCACGACAATTTTACCCATATGTCTCTAGTTTTTCAAAAATTTATAGTTAATTAAGTTTGACACTAAAATTTAATATTAAAGAGAAGCTTGTAGATGTTGAATCTGGAGGATCAGAAACTGATCATCAGAATTTGAAGACTTACACTCTAAAGGAAGTCAACTTCTAAAGACCAGACTCCGAAGAAAGTCACCTCTAAAGATCCTGAATCTAAAGACTCAGACTCTGAAGCTGGTCAACAAAAGGATAAAGAATAATTTTAAAGGTCACTATTAGATTTATGGGTGATTTTGTTTTCTTCTGATCACGTGTAGAACCAAACAAAAAATCTACACAAACAGCAAGGATGGAACGAATAATTCATTTTGAAGTAAAGGAATTTTAAATGTCTTTTGAAAGGCACTAACCATATCAAGTAACATCCTAATGTCTCTGATTAAAACTTCTCTAAAACTCACTTGTGCAAGAAGTTTTCTTCAACCACTTTTCTATATCTCTATATATAAGGAGCTGAAGACTTAAAAAAAAAGAAATAAACTATTGGAAGACAAAAGAGATATTACTCTTCCAAATCAAAAGCACTTATTTAACTTAGAATTTCTTAACACTTGTATATCTAATAAAATATTAAGTCTTAAGAGTATTTTTGTGTTCTATTTTGTTTATACCTCTGATTGTATATCAAGTGCAATACTCAAACAATCTCTTATGTAATTTAGATTATTAGAAGTCTCTTGCTTTTGTGCTTGAGCATCTAAAGTCTCTTGCTTGTGTTCTTGAGCATTAGAAGTTTATTACTTGTGTGTTTGAGCATTGAAAGTCTCTTTCTTGTTTTCTTGAGAAATTGTAATAAATAGTAATTATAATGAAATCCATTGGAAGTACCAATGGACTGGACTACTTTTTTTTTTGTGAAGTCCATTGAAAAAGAAAGAAAAATTTTACACAATTTAACCCCCTTATTGTGTTTTTCTCACCTTCAAAAACACTAGTAAACACTTATACGTACCACATATATTATTTCTCATGTTCTTGCACCTTCAGTATAGTTCTGTCTTCATCGGTCAGTGACAAAAGGCAATGGATAATTATGAGTGCAACTTCACTATTAGATGTTTTACATGATGTCAAAACTCGGAAAGGTAGCATTTCAGTATGGTGGACAGTATCCTTATGTCTTATGGCACTCCTTTGCGTTAGAGGTCTTAGGAATCATTTAAAACAACTTTGAAATTGGTCCCAATCATGAAAAATCAGTTTTTGCACAAAATCAACACATATATGTCGACCTGAAATTTCTATGTGTTGACACATAAATTCTGCATTTCTGCATTTTCTTAAACGCTTTAGTATGTGTCGACACATAACTTTTTCAGGTCGACACATGTACTACAATATTAAAGCTTTCAGCATTTCTGCTTTAAAACGCATGCACATGTGTCGACACAAACGATTTTCAGTTCGACACATGTACTGCATTTTTAAAGTTTGTAGCTATTATTTTGCATGTGTCGACACATAACTTTTTCAAGTCGACACATACTGTTTTACGGGTAATTGTTTTCATTATTTTTTCCATCCGAAACTACCCTTTGTTTACCTAAAAAGAGTCCAACTATAAATATAACATTCATGCATCATTCCGACTTGATGATACCATAAAATTATCCTACATTTCTTCTTCTTCCTCAACCTTCCAATCTATGCATACACATCAACATTACTTTGTGATGATGTTCAGCAGGGGTGCCATCTAGACAAAGAATTATGGATTTCCAATTGTTTTGGGTTCAGATTTGTAGGGGTCTTCATCGGGGAAAAAACCCTCGGGTTTCTCCAAAATCATTTGTTGAATTGCGGGTTTTCATGCATGATCGAGCGAGAAGGAATCGTCCATGTGAAAAAATCCCTTGGAGTGTTTGAAATCTTTTCAAGGAGCCTTAAAGTGTTTGAAATATTTTTAAGGAAGTGTTGCACCCCAAAATTTGCCCTCCTAATTTCGTTTATTTGGCTTAGACCTTCGCATTCATTCGCATATATTTCATTAGGTCACTAACATAGCATGCACTTCATTTAATATAGCGCTTGAGGTTCAAAGTTCAGTGGTTGTGAGATATTAGGGTTTCGCAGTGGTTAAGGCGTTCATGTCCAATAAAGGCTGATTTCTTATTCAGGTAGCGAGCAGTGGAATTAGGGTTGTGACCTGGGTCATTGAGAATTTCTTTCTTCATCAAGCCACGAGGCTATCAGGGTTTATTTTCCTATATGCGATCAAAGACAGGTTTTCAGAAATTATGTTCCAATCGAGTTTTTCGTCAAAGGTCATGATATTAGGGTTTGTTTTTATCAAGGGAATTTCTTAGAAATCCTTATATTGTGCGTCAGGAATTATCATCGTCAAGGGAATTTCTTAAGGATTTTAGCCTTACGTTTTCAAGTGGACATGTTTGTGACTTGAATTACAAAAGTTGAAGCACAATACAAGGTGTGATGCGAGAGAGAATTAATTGAGTCATACGAATATGAATAAAGGATTTGATTTTGGGCAAATTCAATATGGAGAGGTTGTTTTCTTGACTGAGTTCATGCATGAATATTATTGATTCGATTGAATGTTATGTCATATCTTGAGTTTAGGACTGGTTCATTGAATATGCAAGTTGGTTTGAATTAATTCATTGAGTCATGAAGTGAAGTGTTTATAGGATAAATAAATGGTATTAATGAAATATAAGCATTGGTTTGTTTTCAAGAATTTGATTCAAACGAGTTTGGAGACCTTAGTCATAAGAGTTTCTTGGAATTCAAAAGATAAGATACAAATGGCAAGACATAGTCATTCATTCTAATTCCATTCAAGTGATTATTTTGGTTCAAGTTGTCACTTTCAGTATCATTCAAATACCGTTCAAAATCAATCCAAATACACTCCAAACCTTCATTTACGTCAATCAAATTCAATATCTCAATATTCATCGTTCAATGTTCGCTCGAAAATTGATGTTCATTCAACCATTTTTTCTAGGCATCATGCAAATGTTTTCAAGCAATTCATTTTGAATTTACAAATCCATATTACATTCCAAAGAAACTACAAATTTTTTGTAAATTACACAAAGCTACACTAAATCTATCCTGCCTAAACATTAGCTCCATTATCTTCCATGTTATGACTTCATGATGCCATTTTTGCAACCTCCAAACTCTTTGTCAAACTTTGATTCAACCATGTACAAAGTTTCTTCTGCGATAGGTTTCATGTCCCGGCTCCAAGCTTTCCAACCCTGCACTTTACAAATAAAACAGTCCATAAGTTCAATCAGAAAAGTAGTTTAGCAACTTGCAAACAAAACCTCTTCAAAAAAAGGAATATGAAGAAGTTGCAAATCTCTTTAATAGGATTCTTACTGCAGACCCAAGGCAAGAAGAAGGAAGATTTGCAACATGCCCAAGAAAGTTAGTTGTGGAGACCTGTTGTTGTTGCTTCACAAGTAGGTGTAAAGTTCTATGTTGATACTGTGAAGCAAATGGAACTTCGTCAACTGATTGCAGGGTCTCCCATGCAAATGTTTTTCCTTCTAATTACTGGAAAACCAGCTAAAGTTTTCTCATCCCGCAGTTCAAATAGTCAGGACCCTATTGTTTTAATATGCCTCAACATCCTGCACAACTTCAGTTTGGATCTAACAACATACTTAATGATTTGGAGGGGAATTTGGCGGTAATAACTATGAGCTAAACCAAAAAACCTGCACAACAAATCAACATCACATAAAATCAGAATTGAAGCAACCCTTACTTACACAAAGCAGTACACACCAACTCACAGAGACCCAATATTTTCATCACGCGTACACGCATAGTATAAATGCAAAAAAAAATTAGATGTGAAACAATTTCAAGGGATTAACAAACGCTAAGTTCGGTTCAAAGATGATTAAGCAGTACAAAGATTTTATTTGCTTACATAAGTGACAATATGGAAAAAGCCAATTTGACTTCGCCCGCATATTCAAAGGCAAATCCAATTCTGAATGAAATCCATACCGTTGCAAAGTTAGGATGGTTACCTATTACAAAATTCCAAACCTAGTTTATTCATGTAACAGAAAAACAGAAATTCAGTTTTCATATAAAGGAAAATATCAGAATAAATCAGGAAATGGTGGAAACAAAAATAACAGCTCAGCAAGCTTTCATCAGATCAATTGGAATCATTCTCAGCCTTACAAATCTCAGGAAGATATCTGATTCAACCGCTTAGATTTACCAATCTCTAACTAACAGAAATATCCCTCCAACTAACATGTAACTAACTCTTCCAACCTCTGAACTGTTTCCTAACTTCCTCTAACAAACTCTAACAGAAAAAGGAGAATGGATGGACAAAATAACATAACTTTAGATTGAGATAAAAGGGATTCAGGATCATTTATTGATAGATAAAAAATACAGAAAAACTTACCACAAAACTCTCTTAAATTCTCTCTTGGTCCACGATCATTTTTCATTCACCAAATTTCCGAATCCTCATCTTCAAATGTTCTCAACCTTTCTTCAACCTTCCACAATTATTCATCATATGTAGAATCACACAAGTTCCCTCTTATCTGTTCTTCTAAGTCTCTAGATTTCTTCTACAAGATTCTACCGCATCATCCTCATCTTTTACTCCAGAATATGCATCGGTTCCTTAATCATCTTCAAGGTTTGTACATCAGTCACTGCATCATCTTCGTCACCAATTCTCCAATAACAATCTTCATCTTTAATCTGCACCAAGATTTCGCATTTGTTCCATATTTCACAGCTTTGCATCTTCAATTTTTCTCACTGCAAAAGACGTAACAACAACATCAACACATATAAAACAACCACAACATCTTCACCTCCAATTCCTGCAACTCTCTATCATCATCTGAATCGTAATGACATTCCTCTGTAATTTTCAATCATCATCTTCATCATTAATCTGCAATTTCACGGTTCTTCAACCTTCAAGCATTGCAACACGCAGAGTTTAATCATGATACTGATACACACGGAAGCAAAACTATACAGAAGAAGAAGTAGAGAGAATAAGAGACTTAGACTTAGGATTAAACGATGTTGAGAAGTCGAAGATGGAGGAAGAAGAGGTTCGCATCGAAAGCGAATTGGAGATAGAAGCGAGCTAAAGTTTGAATCGTATTGGAGCTAAGGTGCGGTTCTTCTTGAAGACCGTGAACAAATGAGAGATGAGGCCGATAAGAAAGAGGTTGATCAAGGACGGATTCGTGAACGGAACTTAGATGGGACGAAGCTTCAATTTGAGACGAAATATGCTATTTGTGTGGGAGCTGAAGATCACGACGGAGATGTCAATCGGACCAGAGGCGGAAGGTCAGTTGCGATGGAGATTGATAGGTGATTGAGATTCACGGATTCAGGATGAAGGCAGTGAGGCGAGGCTGACTCGACGAGGATCTCACGTTGTTGGCATCAGTCGTGACGTTCGTTGTTGGTGCAGAGGAATATCGAAAGAGAGGAAGAAGAGAGAGCCGAATAAACATGATTCAAATAACCCTAGCATCGTCACCAAACGGTATCATATCCTCTTTTCTCTCATATTTCACTATTAGTTTTTTTTATAATTTTATATATATATATATATATATATATATATATATATATCAATAATGCTGAAAGTTGGATCATGGTCCCTGAGATAGTGGACCAGGGTGATGGAGGTGTGTTGTTGGACCGTATTCTACCCTCTTGTATGGCCCATTGGGATGTTGTTTTTGTAGCTAATAACAAGTTGAAGAAAAATATAAAAAAGGACATATTGGATCTTGTTATGGTCTGGACGGAATCTCTCTTAGGCCCAGGGTGCTTTTTTTTTGGCAGCAGTCTATGGCTTTGCAAACAAAATAATATTATGGACTCAACAGTCTGGGCCTAGGTGCCATACTTGCTTCAACACCCCCTGACTTCAGCAAATTACCCCCTGAGTTTATTCTTTTAGTATTTTCTTTTGAATAATTTTGTGAATTGTTTAGATTTGTTTGAACCTTTCTTCATGATAAAAATAATAAGATCAATAAAAACTTGTAGATTTTTTTTTTATATTATTTCAGTTTTAGGAAATTAAATTCCGATAATCCAATTATATTTGAGATTCGTAAATTCACCTTTGCTCGTTGAGAAGTGAACCTTATGCATGTTTATTGTACGATATGCGGATGCGCTTAAGATTTCGATTGTGACTTATTTTCACATCGATGATGTGTTGATATTTACTCTGAGAATTTGATTTCTAACTCCTTTCTTTGATTGGTGAAGCTTCGTGAAGATCATCGGGTTTCTTTGTTTTGATAGGCTTTGCTACGAACTTTGGTTCGCTTGGTATTTTCTCTTGTTTATCTCATTTCAGCATTTTTACTGCTTTCTAAAAATCATGTAAAGTAGGAAACAAGAAATAAAGAGCGTGCACTCGAAGTCGCTGTTTAAAGACCTGTAGCAGGCATTCCACACTTTGTTTGATATATGTGCTTTGCTTGTGTTTGTTTACTTTCTTGTTGATCGATGAGTCACACAATTTAGAAATTGAGATCACGACTTCGCTTTCAGTGCATGCTCCCTATAGGATTTCATTGCTTTCCTTTATTTCTTGTTGATAGATGAGTCGCTCAATTTAGAAATTAAGATCACGAATTCGCTCCCATTGCATGTTCCCCATAGGATTGTTTTGTTATACTTTCTTTGGTATGCTAGCCTAGACAGGATATCTCTAGTTGTGCTCTCCTGAGCTAGCTCTCTTGAGCATATTGTCTTGTTTGTTTGATTTCATCTTTGTGTGCATGTTTTGAGATGATATACCATCGACATGTTCCCTTAGGAGCTCTCGATTCAACTATAGATGATGATTCGAGATAGACATAGTTTTAGGTGAAAAACCCTGTCTATGCTCCTTTAGGACTTCTTGATTCATCTATAGATGATGAGTTGAGATAGACATTAGGATTGTAATCCAAGCATGTCAACTTAGGATAGAGATTTACCTTCAGAGCTCAACCATAGGACCATCATTGTATGATAACATTACAGATAGATTTAGGTTAGTCTCCCTTTAGACTTTTCTTTCCCATTTTTGCATCCTTGCATTAAAACAAAAAACTTCTTTTTCTTGCAAACTTCAAAACACTTAAAGATTGCTGATGAGAATCATATCTTTGTTAAATATGGGAAATGATAAGCGGGTTTCTTCTCGATCTTATTGTTCTCCTATTCTAAGTTTGGTATGGTTCAAGTCTCAAAGGCTTATTTCATAAATAAGTAGAGAAATGACTAAAACCTCTCTCTTGAGGTCAATTGGCTATTATCTACAGCAAAAACATCAACCAATACAAAGTCTTTTTGCCTTTGGGCTTTTCTTTCGAAACTCTTTTCAAAAGAACAAGTTAATTCACTTATGTGCTGGCGCGTAAGTCTCCAAAGGTCGAGTTGCGGCAGAAGGCGAAATTAATACAGTTCATTAAAAAATACAAACCAACAAAAACATTTGAAGCCGAACTACAACTACTTTGATTCCTTAAAAGGGATACGTAGGCATTGGGGTAGGGCCTGAGCGAGCACACATTTTATTTTCCCTACATTCTTTCTCCTTTGTTTTGCATGCACTCCTAGTACAACTTAGATATATATTTCTTACACACCCATAACATAGACAACAAGAGTGGATATCATAGGGTACTACAGGCATATGGGGTGCTAATACCTTCCCCTCGCGTAACAGACTCCCTTACCCGATCTCTCGGTCGTTTGATCGTGATTTCACCCTTCTCAGGTTTACTCAATGTTTACCTTTCCCTTCTTGTGGGATAAAAAATGTTCGATGGCGACTTTATTGATTTTATTATCAGTTGATTGTTCAACCGATTGTTTCAGGAAGTAGCAAGAATTGGATGATAGAATCAATGATCTTGTGTTGATAGTATGCAATTGGATTTACTCGAGTGAAAAATCTCATAGAGTGTTTGAAATCTTTGCAAGGACCCTTGGAGTGTTTGAAATCTTTTCAAGGAAGTAACTTAAGCGGAGAATAGGTTGCATCTATCGGTCTTGGTCTTGTTGAAGATCAAAAGAATAGAAGGGGTTGAATCGACATCAAATGGTTATATTTTGTATAGTTGCTATGAACACTTCTCTTGTATTCATACTTTTTCAAAGTAAGAAAATATCTCAATTCCACATAGGAATTGGGCGCAGACGTACCCACACGAGAGGACGACAGTGGGGAACCATGTATACAAATCCTCATGCCTCTTTTCTTTTATCACTTTTACTTGCTTTAATATTATTCAATAAATTTGTCAAATAGCATTATTTTATCAATTAAATTGTAAGTAATTTTCCAAACTGTTTATTGATTTACATCCAGTGTTGATATTGCTTATAATTACTTTTGATTGTAAGTATTTTTGAAACACCCCGTTTTTAATTTAGATTTCTTTAATTATGAAATTATATGAATGCAATCTATTTGTGTGTTTGGATGAACAATGAGATGTGTTGTTGTGCTTTGATTAGAGGTTACTACCTTAAATATTATGATAATTAAGACATTATGGGTGTTTGACCAATACCATAGAGACATGGGGGTATAGTGAGAAGGCTAATATATATACATTTTATTATTATTATTATTAGTAACATAATAAGATAAGTAGTATATTATATTAGATTAAATAATTAATTAATTAGAGAAGGGAAATTTTGGAATATGGATTTAGGGGTCCAAGGGGCTAAGTGGTCATAAGGGGAAAATTAAAAATTAGATCGTGACATTATTTTGTGAATGAGAGAAGAGAAGCAGAGAACGAAAAAGAGAGGAGAAGAGGCAATTGTTCGAAAAGAGAGTAGAATTCACAATAGAGGTTTAGGAATCTTCAAACCAAGGTAAGGGTGGGGTTCTAACTTTATAATGAGTTGCATGATGATGGGGAATGGTAGTGATTAAGTCTCATGATTGTATGTTCTTGATTTATCATTATCTTGCTTTGTAAGGTTTTATATGTTGATGAATTATTGATGTAAAATTGGATGAAATTGGTCAAATTGTTGATATAAATTATGTTGGAATGATAGGTATGATGTATGTGTATCTTATGGAACTAAATGAAATTATTTTGATTAAGAAATTGAGGGTTTTTTAGGGTTGAAAGTATTGATTTCCGTAACAGTGAAAATAGTAGAATTTTTCAATGTCAGGCCGAGGAAATCAGTTTCCAGTTTTGGAGAAACTGGTTTCCTATACATGATTTGGTGCTGGAATTGTTTATGTCGTGGCAAAAACCGATCTCTGGTTTGAGGGAAACTAGTTTTCGAAGAAAAATTCCGTGTCACATGTTACTGTCAAATTACAGAAACTGGTTTCCAATTTAAGGGAAACTGATTTATGGTTTGTGTTGAACCAAAATGTTTTCTGAACTTTGAAAATTCGTAACTTTTGACTCGGGTGTCTGTTTTACGCGGCGCTTGGACCAGTACGAATCTAAAGTAATTTTATATCTTATAAAAATAAATTGCAGCACATTAGAAGATTATTTGACATCAACTGACACCTATTGTTGTACCCCAAAATTTCCCCTCCCATATTTCTCAAAATATGTCAAGAAAGATCTCCAAGTTGCTCAAGGTTGCTCAAGGGTTGGTCAGACAAGCTCTCTCCTAAGGCAGTCTTCCCCAAATTAGGGTTTCATGTTGCATCAAGATATTTGAGTCCAAGTGACCCCAAGTTCTCACCAATGTCCTAATATTTTCTCAAGATCATCCAT